AAAATATATAATAAATATAGATAAATAAATAAAACTCCACCACAAATGCTGTACATATGACGAATGAGGACGTGAAAAGATGCTCCTTGTCATTAGCCGAGAAAGGCAGCTCTGGAGGAATGAGCAGAACCAAAGCAACCGAACCAAACTCAACCTAAGGCCCAGCGGTGTTAGCTGAAAGAAGTTCTTTTCTCCAGGGAGAACCCTCTCTCTAGGGTCAGGGCCATCCTGCCTCAGCCTCTGCTACATGTGCAAAATGTCCAGCTTCCAACCAAAAATCATGAGACACAAAAAGAAGCAAAAAACAAAAAAACAAAAAGCAAAACATAAACAAAAGCCAGTGTGAAGAGACGAAGCTCACCGATAGTCCTCAAACTCTTCCATAAAGAGAAAAGGAAGGGACACTCCAGACCCATCGGACAGGGCCAAACAAGACAAAGACACAACAAAGAGAAAACGGCGGGCCTTCCTGACCACAAATACAGAGATCCTCAGTAAAATACCCTCAAACTCAATTCAACAACACATCCAAAAGATCATACGTGATGATCCAGTCGGTTCTGTTCCAGGATGATTCAAAAGATGCAAATCAATAAATGTAACACACGTTACAAATAGGGCCAAGGAGAAGAACCGTGTCATCATCTCATCAAGCATGTGACAGCATCCCATTCCTCCACAACAAAAGCCCTGAAGAAACTAAGTATTGAAGAATCACTCTCAATACAGTAAAGAGTGTATATAACAATCCTAGCCGATGTCACTCTGCATGGGGCAAACTGAACCTGTGCCCTCTAAAATCAGGAACAAGACAGGGGTGTCCATGCACCACTCCTGTTTAACACAGTACTTCAAAATTTCAAGAGAGAGAAACAAAGGATTACAAATAAGAGAGGAAGAAGTCAAATTGTCCTTATTTCACATGATATGACTGTATACTTAAAAGACTCTAAAGACCACCAAAAGTAGCCTGATAAATTCAGCAAAGCAGCATAATACAAAATCAACATTTTAAAAAATATATCAGTAGCTGTTCAGCCGGGCAACATCTGTAATCTCACCACTCGGGGCTGAAGCAGGAGGATTGCCACAAGTCTGAGGCCAGCCTGGGCTACATAATGAGACCCTATCTCAAAAAAATCAGTAGATTTTCTTTCCACCAATAGTGAGCTACCTGAGAAAGAAACTAGGGAAACAACTCACAATGGCTTCAAAAAAATAAAATAAAACAAAATACCTAGGAATCTAAACTAACCCAGGAGGTAAAGAATGAAGATTACAGAGCACTGAAAAAAGAAATTAAAGAAGACATTAGAAAATGGAAAGATCTCCCATGCCCATAGATCTGCAGAATTAATACTATATTTAATATAGTTTAAATAGCTTTATTCTGGATGTGCTGGCACACACCTATAATCCCAGCACTTGGAAGGCTGAGGCTGGTGAACCCCTACAAGTTTGAGGCCATCCTTGGATATGTAAAGTTCAAGGCTGGTCTGAACTATACAGACAGAACTATCTAAAAAAAAAAAAAAACATATAGATACTTAGTGCAATCTGCATCAAAATTTCAATGACATTCTTCATGGAACTAGAAAAAAAAAACCTAAAATCCACATGAAAACATTTTTTTAAAAACCTAGAATAGCCTAAGAAATACAGAGCAAGAAAAAGTAAAACTGAAGGCACCACATCTTTTTAAATTATACTACAAAGCCATAGTAACTAAAACAGCATGGTACTGGCACAAAAACAGACACACAGGCTTTGCAAGGGACCAGAACAGAGACCACCACATGCCCACACATCTGCAGCCATCTAACTCTTGACAAAGAGCCAAAACATACACTGGAGAAAAGACAGCTCTTTAACAGATGACACTGGGAAAACTGGATATCTTTATGTAGAAAACAAAAACTAGATCCTTATCTCTCACCCAGTTCAAAAATCAATTCAATGTGGATTATAAGACCTAGAACTTTGGGCTTTATTTGTTTTGTTTTTGGTAGCAAGAATCAAGCTCATGACCTTGCACTTGTCAGGCCCACACGGCACCACTGAACTACATCCCTGGCCCAAGACCTGGAACTTTGAAGCTAAGGAAACACTTAAAGCCATAGGCACAGGTCAAGACTTCCTGAATGGGACTCCATGACACAGGAAATAATATCAAGAATCAACAAATGGGATGATACCCAGTTAAAAAGTTTCTACACAAGGGCTGAGGATATAGCTCACTGGCCTAGTGCCTGCCTGGTAAGTGCAAAGTCTGGAAAAAAAAAAAAAAAAAAAAAAAAGTTTCTACAGTCAGGGAAATAACCAGCAGAGTAAAGACAGCCTACAGAATGGGAGAAAAGTCTTTATCAGCTGCTCTTCTAACAGAGGATTAATATCTAGAATATATAAAGAGCCCAAAAAACTTAACACCAAAAAATCCAATAGCCCAATCAATAAATGGGCAAAAAAAAAAAAAAATCAAACACAGTTCTCAAAAGTGGTACACGTTTATAATCCCAATATGCTGGGAGGCTGAGGCAGGAGGATTGCAAGTTTGAGCCCAGCTTGGGGAATTTAGCAACTGAGTGAGACCCTAGGTCAAAATTTTAAAAACCAGAGAGGTCTAGGAATGTAGCTCAGGGCCAAGACCCTTGGTTCAATCCCTAGTACTGTAAGGAAAAAAGGGATGAAGGCAGAAGAAAAACTGTTATTAGACAAGAAGGTAATAAGGGCTGGGAAATGGAAGAGAGGTTAGTGGAGGATGCATATCATCAAAATATACTCTATTATAAAACAGGTGGAATCCCAGAAAATGTTGTTAAATCATGTGCAAAAACAGTTTATTCAGAGTGAAAGTCTATCACTTAAAGTCCAAAAAATAGATATATTTTATGTATGGATGAAAACACCACACTAAAATCCGATATTTTATAAAATTAATAAGCACTGATAAAAAATACCTTTAAAGAGAGAGAAAGAGAGGCAAAGCAATGAACAGAATCAGACTGAGATGTGGCGGGAAAGTGACAAGCACTTAGTAGAAACCCCACGTGGAAGCCTGAATTTCGATCTCTTCCAGGGTGACAGGCGCGTGGTAGGATCCTCCTCTCTCGTGATGTGGGTGGCGATGGCGGCCAGCGCCGCCCAGGGAGGCGGATCTCAGGGGCAAAGGGCGGGGACTCTGCAGGGCTCGGTGTGGCTGAACTAGCGAGCTCCGAGGGCTCTGTGGATCCAGTGCATTTTCAGCTTAAAAACTTTGCAGCTGAGTAACGATTCTGTCAGGATGTAACTCCATGGTAAGTCGAGGAGCACTTGTGTTAGTACTGAAATTCATGGGTCCCTTTCCTCAGAAGCAATTGTTATTTTTATATTTTGGAAATAAAAATAAAAACAAAGCATACTATTACTGTATTACTGACAAATATGAAATAAGTACCTGTAAATAGTTACAAGTAGTTGATTTTGAGGAAAAGGACTGAGGAAGGAGATAGGAAGAGAGAAAAAGGCAGTTAGCTTTCAGTAGGAGATTTTAGTACTAAATAGTACTTAAAAAAAAAAACAAAAAAAAAATCTATAGCCAGATGTGGTGATTCATGCCTGTAATCTCAATACTTGGGAGGCTGAGGCAGGAGGATTGCTGCTAGTCTGAGGCCAGCCAGGATTACATAGTGAGTCCAAGGCCAGACTGGACTTTATAGCAAGACCCCGTCTCAAAAAAGAAAAGAGGTGCTTAACATTACTTTGAAGAGGAAAAATTTTTTTAAATCAAATGCAGTAAGAAATGGATGATGTTGCCAGGCATGGTGGTGAAAGCCTATAATCCCAGAACTCAGGAAGCTGAGGCAGGAGGATCACTGTGAGTTCCAGGCCAGCCTGGGCTATATAGCAAGACCCCGCCTCAAAAATAAATAAATAAATAAGTAAAACGGGAAAAAAAGATGGTGTTGAACTGGTTGGGTCAGGAAGCCTTTCCACTTCCGCCAATCTGTAGTTCTCCAGTTGCCATGGAAACTGGGACAGTGGGGCCACACCATCTGGACCCCTCTTTACAGCGACAACCCAAGTGTCAACATCTGAGAACCCCAGTTCAGCCAGCTGGAAGCACTCACCTTTGTCTAACGATGCCTTTGGTATTTCAGCTGCAGGGATACATTTGAGAAGGTCTCACAGTTAAACTGCACTCCCCCAGAGGCATGAGGAAGTCCTAGCCCCAACTACTCCAGACGCAGCCTCATCTGGAAATAGAGTTTGAAGATGCTCTTGTGTTGAAACGAAGTCAGTGGGGTGAGCCCTAATCCTGTTCACTGGAGTTTGGGTTTAGACCCAGAATGGTCCCCAAAGCCTCCAGCCGAAAGGTGATTGGGTTACTGTTGGGGCTGGGGGCTGGTGGAGGAGACAGTCCTGGGGCGCTGCTCCCTCCCCAGCTCCTCCCTTCTCTCTCTGCTTCCTGCCCTGGGCAGCTGTCCCCTGCCGAGTCCTCCTGCCCTACCTTCTTTCCTGCCTTAGAGCCAGCTGTGGGCTGAAACGCGAACCAGAATGCATTGCCGTGCTGAGGATTGTGTCTCGGTGATGGGACATTGACTAAGACAGCTGGTGTCTTTCTAGGAAAAGCAAGAGACACAGGGCAGCCAGCCTGGGAACGCCAAGGATTGGTGGCCACCACCGAAAGCCAAGTGGCAAGGCAGGGCTCTAGCCAGAGAGTTGGGGGACCACACCGTTCTAGCCGGGGTGCGGGGCCAGGACACCGCAGAGCTCCTCCCCCATCCAACACAGTGGTGTCTTTAGCTCTGGACACAGCAACTGGGCTTCCTGCCTTCCAGGTTGGGTGGGCCTGCCTGATCTCCAGACCCCTGAGAAACGGAATGGGCCCCCCTCCGGTGCTGTTTCATTCGGTCCGCCTTTTTTTTTAGTACCTATTTGGGGCGCATCCCCTCCCCTCCTTCTTCTCTAACTGGCAGTAAAAATGGAACTTTAAAAGTTAATTTTTTTTCTTTCAGAGATAAACAACTTCTCCAAACTTTTCCCCATTGCACACATGATCAACACCCACTCCTCTCTGCAGCCCCAAACAGTGATAAGATGTGCAGAGGCCACCAGCCCAAGAGGCTGGGGCCGAGTTTCCCTTCCAGAAAGGGGCAGCTGGGCTGAAGGTGGCCAGAAGGGATGAAGCAAGCGTGGAAATCTTCACTCCCCGCCCCTTAGTTCCCTGCTATAAAAGATCCGTGCTCACTGGAGGTAGTGATTTGAGGTAAATGGGCCCCTCCATCTCCTCAGAGCTAGCTTTAAATAAATCCTTTTTTCCGTTTTACTTTCATTTGGTCAGGGGCCAGCGAATGAACCTGAGTGGCCAGGAACATCACTGTCCCCATCCTTCCCTCCCTCCCTCCCTCCGGGCCCCAGGGTCTCCTGGCCCAAAGCCCCGGACTCTTTGTCAAATGAGTTCGTCGGTCTGGAAGGCAGGTTCATGCAGTGCCCCAAGCTGAGAATGTTCTGGAAGGGGCTTCAAGCCAGTAGGAAAGCACAGCATGAGAGCAAGTGTGTGTGCCGTGTGTGTGTGCGTGTGTGCGTGCGTATGCGTGAGCGTGCGCTTTGAATTGGATTAAGCGAGGCAGCTTCCTGAATGGGACCAGGCCCATCCCAGATGGCTTTCCAACCCCCAAACCTCACATGCACCCAGGAATTTCACTTGAGCACCTCCCGCCTCCCATCTCCCCGCAGTCAGTACCCATCCAGCAATCCCGGATCCTGGTGATCCTGGACCCTGCTCCTCCAATGGGAAGGACTTTTCCAGGCCGGTGCCCACCAGCTCGTGACCAGCTTCCAGGTAGAGTAAAGGATTAAATGGAAGGCGCAATAAGAAGTGAAACAATTAGAATTTCTGCCTCATTATCATGGTAATCTTATCAGTCGGATAATGAGGTATTAATGGAGATTTAATGTGCATCTCATAACAGAATCCCTTGGAGAAAACACACAGGGAAATTGCTGTAAATCCACTTAATGATGGAGAAGTCCCAAAACACCATATTCCAAAGGATGAAAAATGCAGGATGCAAATGAGAAAGAATCAAGGTCAATAACACCACGGGGACAGGCCTAATGGCAGATTTGGAGATATATGTAATAAAAATTGCATGTTGCTTTTAAACCTCACCCTCTGTTGTTTTCAAATGCACATTCCTAGTAATGAAACACAGAAGTGCAGCCAGAATGATTTGTATGTTTTAGAAACCATAGGGGGCAGAGAAACATGTCTTGAAACCCATCAGGCCCCCCGCAGGGAGCCATGGGAAATGGGGTGTTTTACCGAGAGGCCTCCAGGGGAAGGGGGCACAGAGGAAGAGCCCCTGGGTGGGCGGTGCAGAGAGGAAGCAGCCTCTGCGAGTTCAAGGTCATTTGGGAAACAGCAGCGGGAAGGAGATGGATGTGGATGTGGTCACTTCCCTCTTCCTGTGTGCAGCTGACCGGCAGCTCAGAAGGATGAGGGACGCACACAATAAAGGCTCCAGTTGAGAGACGCCCACCCCAGCCAGTCACTGCTGAAATACCAAGCACAGATTATCTCATTTAATTCCATCAGCAGCGCTGGAAAGCTATTAACATCTCCATTCTCCAGATAAGAAAGTGAAGCTCTAGAGATTAAGTTGCCTCAAATTGAACCTTGGCTCGACCCTCTCTTCAGAGATACCTGGTGGGACCCAATGCGCTCACCTCCATTTGGCTCTCTGGGAGCCACACGAAGGGGAATCCAAGCTAATATCTCACTCTCTGGCCAGGGACCCTTGGGAAAGATGGGAGCCTCCAACCAAAGAGGCGGGAAAGAGGGACGGAAACTTCATGCCGAGCTGAGGATTGCAGAACCCACCGGGCAGCCAGGCCCACAGCCGCACAGGGGACAAAGGACAAGCACCTGAGCCCCTGAACTCACGCTTTTCCCGAGAGCAGTGGGGACTCAGTCAGGGGTGCCAAGCAAACAGAAAGGTAAAAATGTTCACACGTAAATGGGAAAACGCTAAGCACATGTTGGTTGTTTGATCTTATACTTTATTGATGATCATAAATAACCCTTGCATGTGCCGGGTGTTTCTAAAGATTGAAGGTAAAGCTAGTTCTAGTTTTGGTTTATTTGAGGAAGCTTGGGTAAGGGGTGCCTAACTGTCCTGCTCTGTCTGGGACTGGAGGGTTTTGGTTCCAAGCGGCGTCACACTCAGGGAAGCCCCTCTATTGAGGCAACGAAGACAAGGGGTCACCCCGTCCGAGAGCAGAGGCCCAAGTTCTGTCCAGGGCCACCCACAGGAAAAGACACTGGGTCGGGCACAGCCATCGCTCGGTGAGCAGCCCTGGTAAGGGCTTCTGTGTGCAGTCCAAAGAGAGCAACAGAGAAGCTCTCCCTGGTCATGAGCTGTCTGGGGGAACACTGGTCCTCTGCCTCAATGATAGCCAGTGTGTGTACCAGGGAGGGACGGGATGACAAAGGAGGAAACTGCCACACAGCGACTGGACAGGCTAGGTTCTGGAACGGCCACTCAATACCCAGCACCTCCTGTTCCTCACAGGAATCCTCACAGGCAGCGGACCACGCGCCCGCTTTACAGATGAGGAAACTGAGGTGCAGACTGCTGAAGGCACCCGCTCCAAGGTGTGAACAGCCTGTGAGCAGCTGACGGGCTGAAGAAGTTGACAAGAACCTGCCTGAGGACAGGTGCAGCCCCCAGAGAGGGGGGTCAGCCTGATGCAGCAAAAAGGGGGGAATGTGGCCAATCTGGTTGGAGCCTTGCAGCTGTGTTTCGTTTAATCACAGTCTGCAAATTGAATGAAGTTAAGACAGTGTTGCCTCTTTGAATTTCCCCCAGGCCCTGTTTAATGAATAAATAGGCATGATTTGTAATTAGCTTATCCATTGTGCGGATGCTTCTAGAGCACCTGAAGTGAGTTAAGCACGCCCCCCGCAATCTCCTCGACAATATTAATTCACTCCACAAACCTTCCTTCCTGGTCCATGGCACATGTGACCACGCGAGCCCATATCGCTCTGCAGCGGACATATTGAGAAGAATTGGGATTTTTCGGTGTGGAAAGATGAAGACACAGTGTCCTCATCAGTCCTGCCTCCCAGCGTGGGATTTGGATGCTTCAAGTTGTTTGTTTTCATCAGCAAACACTAGATAACCCACAAAAACTCTCAGCTTCCCCCTCAACCAGCGGTTTAACACCCCAGAGCCAGCGCATAGGGGAGGCTTCCGGTCATTAACACCGCCTCACCGCGGGGTCGGAGCTGAGCCAGGGGACTTCACCCATCTGGGCCGCCTTTCTTTTCTGCAAGCTGTTGTGTTTGCAGCGGCTGCTGCCGGATCCCTGCACCCTGCTGGAGTCCACTAATTCCTGCCAAGCTACTGGGCATCCTATATCATTTATCCTGTAATTGGGACTGCTGATCAGTTTTGCCCAGTTTCTGTGCTAACCATGTGGCTGCTGCTGAAATTTCAAATCCTAGTATTACCCTGCTCGGGCTGTTGGGAGGGTCCCCAGGGTGGAGGTAGTCACCTCAACTGCCCCCACGGCTTCCAGCAAAGGGGTTGCCATTCATCTTCATCATGGGCTCAATCTGTGTGCAGAGAGGAGCAGCCGTCCCATCGGGACCCCTGCCCAGTCACCTGGAGGCTTCCTCTCATCTGCTCCTGTTGCCTCCATGGCTGCATTTATAATCTACCTGCCCTGCAGCTTGGCATCTGTGAGGGATCCCAGCAAGGAGGCCTGCCCCTAGGCCCTGTGTGTGAGAGTCCAGGTGCCAGCCGGTGGCAACAAAGGAGGAGGTGAAGGTCACCCACCCCTTCTCCTTTGCAATGTGGTGGGTCAGTCTGTCCTTACGTGGCTTCAACACTAGGCGTGGACTTGGGCCATGTGTAGGTATAGGGAACAGGAGAGGGGACAGTACCAGAACCCCTGCAATGAGTCCTGGCCGCCTGTGAGCCACTACAACACAAAGTGGATTAAAGAGGGAGGGGCCGGGAATGTAGCTCAGTGGTGCCGCCACCTGCCTTGCTAGTGCAAGGGCCTGAGCTTGATCCCCGGTACCAAAAAGAAAAAAAAAAGAAAGACAGGAAATGAGAATTGAAGAGTTTTGGGCCTGATCAGTGCTGCTCTGGACGGCAGACAAAGGCTTGCGGAGCTTGCCACTATTTATTGGGCTCATAGGGAGTATCGGGTGACTCAGAGGGTGGTGATAATCCCAAATTGATGAGGATCTTAGATGACTGGAGGGTGGCTGTAATCCTATGACCATGGGGCCCTTATGCTGATGAGGACCTTAGGTTGATGAGGATCTTAAATTGATTCGGAGGAGCAAAACTTCCTCAGAACAATAGGTGGGGTGAGTTAAACTGATAAGGAATTTGTTCTTCCACAGATGAAAGCCTTCTACTTAGTTCTCAAAGACTTCAACTGATGGCTTCAGCTGATGTAATCTTGACCTTGAAGAACACAGCTTCGCAGGACTATTGAGGCCTGGAACAACCCTAATCATAATTTAATTGTGAAACGATTTTTCTCCAAAATTATGTAGAATGGCTCCCAATATGTGGGAAAGCAGGTCTTCCCTCCCTCACACACTAAAATCCAGTCAGCAGGTAACTACTGGGTAACAGTACCATGCTGGGCACTGTGGATGGCATGGGTGCCCAGCTCTGGCCCCAAGGGACTCACATGCGGAAAGGGAAGTGCACACCAGGATGGGAACCATAGAATCTGCCTGGAGCAGCAGCAGCTACAGTTTGCACGGCTCCTTCCCCTCCCTGGCTCCCATGATTCTCTGCGAGACTGGGAAGCTTCTGTTGCTGAAGGCCAGACAGGCCAGGTCAGGTGTGGTGGCACTCGCCTGTAATCTCAGCACTCAGGAGGCTGAGGCAGGAGACTGCCATGAGTTTGAGGCCAGCCTGGGCTACCCAGTGAGTTCAAGGCCAGCCTGAACTACATAGCAAGATCCTGTCTCAAAAAAAAAGCAAAACAAAAAGACAGTAGCTAAACATACTTAGGAAATCTTAAAATCTGGATATGGATCCTGACTTCCATTTCTTTTCCGTGCAGCTATGAATAAGCCACAGCACCTGAGTCTCCACTTCCTCATGTGTCAAATGGGCACACAGTGTGCCACCACACAGGTGGGGCTCTGGGAGTGACACACGGAAAACACTCAGTGATGCACCCAGCATGTGAAGGTATCAGAGTGTAGGGCGGGATTGTGAGAACCCAGGCGCCCTCTGGAAGCCCCTCCTTGGAGAAGGGATAGGAGGGTTCCCATGGGTCACAGGACCAGGAGCCCAAGGAACCTGGACTGGAGGTGCTGGCTGCGCAGCAGGGTCGTCGGAAAAGCAGTCTTTGCTGGGAATAGTCACTGGCACAGTGCAGAGTGGGCAAAGAGGAACCCGGTGTACAGTGGGTTTAACAGCTCAGTGCCAGGCTGAGCAGGCTCTGGGAGCTGAACCTGCGTCCAGGAGCTTCCCCACCTCCTGGGCTCCTGACAGCTCCTTCCCAAACCAGCGGGCAGCCCATAGTCTTTACAGCCCATGGTCTTACCTGAATTTGGCCACAAGATGTCACCCAAGGAACAGCAAAGCAAGGTTTGGGAGGAAGTTGCCAGGCCAGAGCCCAGCTCAGGGAATGCCAGGTTCTAGGAGACACCTGCAAAAGGCTGGTGGTGGGGCCTAAGTTCAAATCCCAGGGTTTCCAGCAGAACCGGGTGCTGCAGTCCCATAGGACTACATCAAGAGTAAATAGAGATGAGACTCCCCACTTCCCTGCCATCTCTGATTTGCCCAGTGGGTGTGGGTGGCCCAGAGGATGGCATGGTAGGCCTCAGGCTCCCTCCTCCTGTGCAGGCAGGGGCTGGCTTTGGAAGGAGAGGCCAGTGGTCTCCACACACAGAGGGCGTCCTGCCCACCCCATCTGCAAACACCTAGGACACCTGCCATTGGGCAACATAGGAGAAGCCAGGCAGCAGGAGAGAGGACAGGATGAGGCCTCGCCGAGGAAGGAAGGCAGTCAGCTCACCAGGGGCAAAGATGCCCAGTCCTTCTTCCTATGCCAAAGA